ACTCAACAGAGCGCACACTACACAAAGCACTGAAATGCGCCACAAGACAAGACCTCACTTATAACCATCAGGAAAATAAAAAGAAAGGGGAACAATAAAGAACAAATCACTGCTAAAATAAGAGAAAGATATGGGAAGAATGAACAAAAATTAGACAGAACTGGAAAAAAAGCCCCAAACAGAGTTGGTTGTAGTATAACGGTCGGCGACCTGGCCTCCATTGGGAGTAACAGGCGAAAGTAAGTGAAGTAGGTACTAGTTAGTCATTCAATGCTTGAAAAAGAAAATGGAGATAAACACATCACTGTCTAATATGCGCGCAGACAACACAATCTTCGCCATCAACAGCAATGAGAACAACAACAACAACAACAACAATGGATCTAAATTTATGTTTTCTAAAGGTGACATTTGATCAACCACATGTACAACATGTCTGATAGATTGATTCATTTGTAATTATGCTAACTAATTATGATTTTTCATTATGGGGTTATGAAGATTGTGGTTTATTACTGATATCATGAAGCAATCATTGTCAGTCTACCACAAAAAAAGCTGGAATCACTGGCTGGCCATTTCGTCCTTGTATGTAACTCACCGGAGGTACGCTAACATAAGTCCTGTGACTGTGAGCATTCGAACCAGGGACATTCGGTATTGCGCGGTAACATCTAACATCTAAACCACTGAAACGGCACGCAACTGTGTAAATATCTAACTCTGATCAATCTAGTGATTTTGTGGAACCTAATGACTAGCTTTATAAGGAGTTTTTCTCGACGTTCTAGTGAAATTATGCGACAAGTAGTGTTCAACCATCTTAAGTGTAGGCAGTAGCTACGGCAGAAAAATGAGCGAGGAAGCAAACAATCCTTAGATTGGACATTAACACCGTTGGAGGCGGGATAAGTGAACTAGGCTCCGAGTGCTCGCGCGTAAGACTGCGTTGGAATTGTGCGAGCAGCAAAGGTCTTGAACGTGCATTGCTGCTGAGTCCTATATCATGACGAAATATCATTTTAGCGCTTCCAGGTTACTACCGGTGATCATACAATGACTGACTCATGATTTCAGCAACCAAATAATCTAGATTTATGAAAAATAATGGTTTCGACAAATTACTCATACAGATAAGAGAATGTAACACACATGTGGAAACACTTTTCAATAATTCATCAAAATTACTTCGAGGATAGTAATGGTTCACTCTGTATTGTGTTAAACTACACTCAAAATTTGTGCAATCCTCGTGTTGTTGTGCGGTTACGTTTTATCTCACATCTTTAGATATGTGCATTTTATAAATGTTTAGTTGGTCGTTTTGTATGCCAGTATGTTTAATAACATGTAGATGTCTGTTTTGTCACATTCTAGGGACATGTTGTTTACAGCAGTTTTCTTACAAGTGTTAAGTAAGGTCCGAAAATGTTTCTGTGTTATCTATTAAAATATTGATAATGAAATTTGTTTATTGTTTTACTGTTGGTGTGATTTCAAATTTTTTTTTCATGTTATATACGCCTGTGACTCTAATGGAGTGTTGGCCACCGAGAGGCATTCTCGAAACGTCCTGTACTAATTCCATCTCTTCAGAAGTGCTTCAAATATATTTTTCTCCACTGAAGTTATAGAACCCGGATTCAAACAATATTTACTTTTATTATGATGCACTGCCTTACAGTCAGTTTGACTTGGTCTGATTAGTTTCGAACAATATCCTGATACTGATTACGTATGTATTTGAATGCATATGATTAATTTCAGTGAGAAATCCTATTTAGTATCAAAAAGATTGATAATTTATAAGCTGACAAGAAAATGAGTGAACTTTGGTTGTATTCGTAACCCTACACAAATCGTGAATCATTGAGATGGAAACTGTAGGAGTCATATCTTTCTATTGGTTTTGAGATGATGAAAAACACTTGTGTCCCAATAGGAGGAGTATTGAAGTAGAATGTCGTTCACCTAGTTGCATGGGTAAATCAAGAAACATTATTTTGAACAACCTCAACATCTCAACCATCGTGTAGACTTTTGTTTGTGCATACTCCGATCCACTGCTCAACTGATTTTATCTGTTTCCTTTAACATAGCTCTGTTTTCTGATCAAACAGAACCTAATGGAGGTTGAAGAGGTGACATGATAGTTTCATGGGTTAGGAAGAATCGCATTCAACATGTACTTCAATATGAAAATATGACATCTAGAGAAAACTAACTAATCGTTAATTGTTGAGCTTCACTCTGTTTGACATTGATGGTGATTCATCGAGATCACGTTGTAAAAATGAACGCGAAATAAAAGTCAGTTGAAGAAAGATTGCTTATGTGTAAAATTTATTGAAAAACATTACACACAAACATCCAATACAGTTTCGAAACACTCATATTTGCAAAATATGAATGAGCGAACTGTTTTTGCAATTTGATTGAAGAAGTGTTTCATGGTTCTGAAAATCGGAACATACAACATAACGTTAAATGTTTGATTTAGTTGAACTAGGAATGAAACAATCTGCTGAAACATATTTTACCATGTGATATATACAAAATTATGTCAACAGGCAAACTCTGTATACATGAAAGTCTACAATGTGTGGACATAGGGAAAGCCACCATGAAAGACCTAATGTCATTGATAATTATTTGTCATGTTTCTGTTTGTTTGACTAAATTTCAACTTTTGGACAAAAACTGCTCTGTAGCCTATGCTCCATTGGAGGTAACAGGTGTAACCACCATCAGTCAACCGAGCCTTTCCATTGACAATTGAGAAGAAGAAGAGAAGAATATGATAATATTGTTTAAAAATTTCTCGGACTTACAAGTGCAATGGATTGAATCATTCTCCATTGCTCTCAAAATCATCTCTATTTGTTCAGTTTTAGATGACACTAAGAAAAAGAAAATTATCAGCTTGAAAATAATAACATACCTTTGATGAGTAAAATTCTTAAATATTCCGATTCTTTCATTAATGTTCTCAAACCCTCTGTCAAAAGCAAAAATATTCATTGCACAGATTAAATCTACTTGCATTGAGTATAAAAAGAAACCAACGACATTTTACGAAACGATGCGCTCACATATATATTTATTTTATATTTTTATCTGGTGAGCGTTTCTTTGGCGTTAGTTTTTTGGTAGAATAAGGTCGCCAACACTATGCCCAACCCTCCTCCATTATCCATGCCTGGGACCGGAAGTAGCCTCGAAGGTTCTACTGGCGGAGTTTTGATGTATATATATATATATATTTACATATGAGTTAACAGTGACATCAATGAAATTGATTCATAATATGTAAACATAATTACCTAAAGCTTTCGTCAGTTCTATTCGTTCAACTTCTTGTTTATCTCGAAGTTCTTTATTAGCTAATATCAATTAGATTAAATCATGATCTGATTATAATTTGACATGAAATGCCACGTTTTATATTTTAAACATTAAACAATATATGGTTATTTCGATCAAATGATCATGTTACTTCACACTACCTTACAACCCAAATTACTTACTATTCGTAGAAAAAAACAAACAACTTCTTAATGATATAATGTGGAGACAATGTGATTTTTTCGACCTCTTTTCATCATTTAAGACTAATTCAACTTGGCAATCATAGTGAATGTTAGTTAATGTCGATCTGTCATCTATTGACAAACAACTATAGACAATTTTAGAATTATCCAAAAAATCTTGTGCCTTTCATGCTGCATTGAAGCATCATATATATATATATATGAATGTAATGCCGAATGATGACAATTTGTTGTTATGTATATGCCTTTTCAACAGCCGCTTTCCTTATTCATGTTTGTTGATATTTCAGGTTGAAAATATTCGACTAATTCACTGGAGATTATCAATTTCAAATAAAGAACTTCTTTGGTTTTTCACCTTGATCTTTCATATGTTCATGTGCTGCTCGTACTGCTTTCAATTCCAACGGCTTCACATTCTCTTTAAATAAAACAAGAGAAAAGGAAATTAATTGGAGTTAGTCAAACACACACTGAATATTTCTATTCAATCCAAACGATCGATCATAAGAAATTCATCGTTCTTTGTTTTATAGGTATTACTGTCATGAAAGTTTTAATGGCAAAATGAATAAAATACTGTGGTAACAGTCATCATCATCATCATCATCATCATCATCATCATCATCATCATCATCATCATCATCATCATCATCATCATCATCATCATCATCATCATCATCATCATCATCATCATCATCATCATCATCATCATCATCATCATCATCATCATCATCATCATCATCATCATCATCATCATCATCATCATCATCATCATCATCATCATCATCATCATCATCATCATCATCATCATCATCATCATCATCATCATCATCATCATCATCATCATCATCATCATCATCATCATCATCATCATCATCATCATCATCATCATCATCATCATCATCATCATCATCATCATCATCATCATCATCATCATCATCATCATCATCATCATCATCATCATCATCATCATCATCATCATCATCATCATCATCATCATCATCATCATCATCATCATCATCGTCATCAACAACAACATCACAATGAAATGATGAACTTACCAATTTGCGCTTTAATCTCACTTTCTTTTTCTTGTAATTTTTTCTTAAATAATTCAATGGATTCTAGAATTAAAAAGAAACAATATTTCACTTTTCACTAGATATTTCAATTATAGTTTAGTTTAATTTTTCATAAGTTGACATTTTATTTAGTTGTTGTTAAAGTAGAAATATGTAGTAATTGAATAGATAAGCACTAGGTCTATATAAATATTGTTGATTTACACAATGACATATTAGATAATTTTGAAAAGCGATCAAAAATCCTATTTTGGCGTAAGTTGAAACTCACCTTCCGTCTCATCGGTATGTAATAGTGAAATGTGAGCACCTGAGAATGATATAAATAACTTGTTTATGATACACTTAGGAAACAGTAAAACAATCACTTTGCATGTTTTACAGTGAAGTTTGTGACATTACCTATGATATCGTCCAGAAGTTCTCTTTGTTTCCACTTCTGTGAAATCGATTGTTGTAATGCTCCATGATCTGTGAATACAACAAGTTATTTATTCATTCATGATACTGGTAAGAAATCATTCTAATAATGAGCATATTCATTCGACATCAGCCATATTGTCATGACTTAGATGATTATTTAAAAGTAGGCTGTTCCAGTAAAATGTGATCAATGTTGCATTGCGAGTAGTAATCTTAAAGATAAACTTCTTAAGTAAAGCAATCCCAAGTGACTGGTAAATTGTTCTCAGTCATGTTTAAAAAAACCCAATAGTGTCGAATATGTCGGTACATTATTGCGGAATTCTAATCGCTCTCGATATTATAGTTATAACCACATTTGATTAATTTTTGTCTTTATTGCCGTTTATCATTGGCTTTGACACCTCACTTTCGGGATCAATGAAAAAGATTATTGCCTTGACGTATATGATACAAAATGACATGAGATGAATGTGTATGAATGATTTCTTTAGTTATTTATGATAGATATTTTTTACAGAATGAAAACAACCTTCAGTGAATAAAAACAAAATAGAGAAATGTTTTTCTTTTTAATTAAAAAAACGAATAAAATTAATGATTACAGTCTGGTGTTGAACTGATGGTTTCATTCGTTCTGATAGCTTGTTCATGTTCCGCTGTTTGTTTGTTTTCATTTGGGCGGGGAAAAGAAAATCGAAACTTCAATAAGAAAGTTTTATGATAGCTGGTTGGAAGTGATTGATTTTAATAAAACCGCCACAAGTCAACTTGATGAATGTTTTTTTTCGTTTTGTTCAAATAAACAGTGATTTCACTGAATTTTACTTGATGTGTATAAGTAGGTTTTGAGTTCACTGCCAATTTGCGACTTTTCTGTGCAATTTACTGTTGAGAATTTACTTAAACGTTGATAAGTTATCGGTTAACATGTAGCATTGCAGTAAGAGAACAATTGTCTCTCTTAAGTAGCTTAGCAGTAAAATATAAAGGGTAATGGAAGTCACAGTACCTTTGCCAGTTGGATAATTAGTTCATGAAAGGAGGCCACCTTGAGTTTCATGATCATGATCGTTAATCATTGCTTATTTTGTAGAAACTATGAATAAATGAAAATTCATCAGGCGATAAACACATGTACAGATGTACACAGATGTTTCTGGATTAAAGACTCTGTTTTCTTCGCCAGATACATGTTTTCATCAAATATGTGCCTGAAGAACATCATTCCAATCGTATTTAAACAACAAAACAGAAACAATTCGCAGACCTCATTTTCTACAAAACCAAAATTTCAACTGACAATCAACAGACAGTTGGATTTTTTTTCTATACAAACTAACATACCTGTATAGCGTGTCAATAGATCACTATTGGGTACATCGTTTCCTACAAGACAAATGAATTATTTGCTAAACAGTGATAAGGAAACAGATGATTGACATGCATTTTTAGAAAAAATCTACTGATCACGCTTCTCTCCTTTATGTGATTTCGATTGTTTGTTTTCGGCAAACAAACTATCAACCTAGAACTTACCTGATAAATAATGTTTGGCCCATTTTGTGAAGTATAACTTTTCTAATCTCAAACATTCTACAAAGAATGAAAATAAAAAGCATCAGTAGTACATTCATTGACTGTGCACCATGCAAAGGCATAGTAAAAAAATCTCTGAATATCAGTGAATGAGACTCTGGTTTAACACGGATTCGTTCACTCAGTTGATACAAATTGACACTGTTGTGAAACCAAAGTCAATTCCACAAATATTAGGCATACGTTAATGTTTTCAGAAAAATGATTACAGGATTTAAATGCATGATGATGTGTATAATTCGAATATTGTGTAAATCAATGTTCATTTTCAAATTTGAATTGAATATTACCTTGATGATATCGATTTTTTCCATTCTCTATGTTTTCACGTGTAATCGCTTCAATTGACAGAACTGAAACAGAAAATTATGCCAGAAATTTATTGTTATCGAAACGAATTAAAGTATAAGGGATACATGCTAACCATTGTTTTAACTGAATACACACAACACTTGATATGATTAAGGCGCCAACTTATTTCAACACATGAAGACACAGCCTATGCATTGAGTTAAATGCTAGTCCATATTGTTAAAGTAGCAAACACCTGTGAAACAATTCATTTCAGAAACAATGGTTGACAAGAATATCCATATTGTATTCTACAGCATACAAAGAAAGTATACTTTTCACAAATTAAACAGAATGAATGAAACGCAATACTGCATATCAGGGTACTAGTACAGTCTACTTCACACTTAGATCACAATCATTTGTAAAGTGAATTCATAAAACATACCATTCATGAACAATATCAAGATGATGATGGTTGCCGACAAAACATGTGTTTCAAGTGAATAAAATTATGCTTAGATAACTTACACTTTCGATCCAAGCACTTATAATATGCATCGCCATAAACTTTCATCTGGTTTATTATAGCAGGTGGAACTGTTAAAATAATTATATTTTAATTTTTGTTAAGAATTTTATATCAGTTAACAAAACACATGCGATAACAACAATTTATGTTAAAGAAAAAAAGTAGAAAGTAATCTGAGAATGAAAATCCACCGCACTATGTTTATCTTTTTTTCAAATATGAGGTTATTAGTTATTCTGACAGTTTAATTTTGGAATGAATCACATGATATTTTTAACTGGATTATCAACTAAGCCGAATAGATTGTGTGTAATTAACAAATCATAGGAGACGTAGAGTTCGATGGTGTGTATACAAGTGAGCTAACTGATCACACTTGAACTCCTCACCGCTAAGAATGGTGAACAAGAATGATAGACTCACGATCATTGATTTGTGCTCTTAGAAAATCTTGAATAATTAGTTAAAAAAGGAAAACAAAGTTAAGCTGATTTCATGTGGAAAATTTGGAAAGCGACAGTAAAAATTCGAAAGTAAATCGATATCTACTATGGGGGTTGGGAAAGAAAACAAAAATGGACGAAATAACGAATCAATAAAAATAGAAAGAGAGTAAAAATGGTAAGGAAGAAAAGAGGAGGCAAGAAACGAGAATACGATAACAACGAATCAAAAGAAAAATAAGTCAACTAAACACAAGCAAAACAAATAAATCACTCTTACAACTTACCAGAATCTTCGTCTTTATCCAGGAAAACATAATTATCATTGATGCGATGAACTTTAAGAGAAAACCGAATTACAAAACAAAGTGTAATCAATGGTATGTGTAAACATGAAAAGGAATAATTACGAAATTATGCAGAGAACTGGTAAATACATTAAAAACAAATTGACAAATCTACAGTCAGTGAAACAATTCAGAAACTGAATGAAGACTGATGGTAATGTTCATTCACAAGAAGATGATACTAGTTAAAGCAGGAACATATAAATAGTTATTAACAACAAGTTCAATATAACATTAATAGTTCCTATTTGTGTTGTTAAAACTGTGTAAAACTTAAACATATGAACATGCATAAATATAGGAAGATAAAGAGTTTCTCAAACGGCAGTGACACACTCTCAACCCATCTCTGTTGTTGATCAGTAGTGAATGCCGCCAATTCAAACATTGAGCACATCACATTGCCACAGTGTGTGATTTCCATTGAACTGTATCACGTTTAGTGACAGACACGGTGATGTGTATTGGACATTCGAAAACGGAACTCACCTACATTGGGTTTAGTTTCTGCTGCGTGTCCAGTGTCTTGGTGGCCAGGATGAATATTCGGTGACATATCTGAACAATGGAAGAATTTTGATTTAATGTGGAACGTGAGTCATGATAAAAAATACAGAACTCACCTACAATGTGTTTATTTTGTAGCTCATCTCCAACGTTTTGATTCGCTTCTTCGTGTCCAGCTCCTTTCTTATTTTCTGCATGTTCAGCCTGTCTATCTGCTGCTTCGTTTGCAGCTCCTTCATTTTGTGCTGCATATCCAGCGTCTCCGTTTACTGCTTCATTTGCATCTTCGTATGCGCCATCTTCATATTCATTTCCAATATTCGCCGACATATCTAAAAAATGAGAGCGTTGCGTTTTAACTCGGGACATGAGACGTCGTAACATATGAAATCGCACAAATCATAAACCATTCACTGGTCAAGGTTACATTTTATTTCTTGGACTATGCTCATTTATTTAGAATTTTGAATTGAAATTTTTCTAATTTTCAATCTACATTCTTTGGAGAAGTCTATATAATTTACACGTCAAATGAAGATATCATTTATTGACACATTGATTGCATTGAATTCTGAATGTTTTTTCAATTTTTACTGACTGATTTTATTTAAATAAACATTCTTCTCATCTTATAATCATGATTAATTAGGATTTGCATTCATCATTCTGTTTAAGTTACTTTTGATTTCAACAACGCGCGTTTAGATTCGAAAATTTATTTTTATTTTGTTCGATAAGTTTATCCATGAAAAATGTTTCATATTATGTTTCAAATATGATCAATTTCAGTGTGATAACTAACTAAATATCGTCAAAAAACACTAGCAAACACCATGAATACAATTAAGTGAGTGATGGAGAATTCGGTCAAAGTCGTAAACAAATACAACGCAAACATTCAACTGTCAATAGATTATTATTGTATTAGAGAATCCGTTAATTTTCCACAAATTATACAAAGAAGCAATAAATCATAAATCACAAACTCACATTTGAAATTCAATATTGATAAGAAGGCAATGAAGAAGAGTATATTGTTTGACATTGTTCAGGATTATGACGATTGCAAATATTATCAATGGCATTTATATAGGTTTGAAATACACTGATTGTAAACGTGGAATTCACGAATATGAGCGTCATCTTCTGAGGACAGAAATTTCATTCACACCACCGAATTCGGGCACTTCAAATTTTCTCACTTGTTCACACTCTATTGATGAGAAGTGGATGGAACGTATTTCGTATTCAGTTCGTGGTTATCTAGGATCATTCAATAATGAACAGTTACACTACTCAACATGCGATGCTTTTGTACATAATATTTTGGAACAAAGATTCAGCGTTATTTCCGTACACTAAAGATTCACCTTATGAGGACAGAAACTTCATTCACACCACCGAATTCGGGCACTTCAAATTTTCTCACTTGTTCACACTCTATTGATGAGAAGTGGATGGAACGTATTTCGTATTCAGTTCGTGGTTATCTAGGATCATTCAATAATGAACAGTTAACATTACTCAACTTGCTACAGATTTCGCATCTCGAACGTAGCTGCTTACTTGTACGTGGTGGTCTGAGCCTGCCTATCGTGATGTCCCAACTGAGCTATACCGGCTGGAACATATGTTCCTGAAGATTCTACCATACTAGGCAGGTCGATTGGAGAACGATGAGACTAAAAGCAGCTACTCAAGGTCTGAGGGTGAAGTCGTACTACTGACTGCAGAGGAGTGTGACAGCAGTAAAGTGTTCCCCTCGGACAACCAGCATCTGCAGCGATTCTGCCTTCTCACAAGGAAGGAAGGGTTAGAAAAGTTCGACTCTAAAAATGTCACACCTCACCCCTACCTCATGGATTTCCGTCTCCTTGGGTAAGGGTGCCCACTGAGGGACCTTTAAGAGCGGAGCTAATACTCGAAAAACCTTTCATCAAAAGGCCGTGAGTGACAGGCCTCAAGCAGTTGTCCCTTGGACTCTGCGATCACGCTCCGACGCTAACCTATCTTCCTCTTCAAATTCCTCAATAAACACATTTCTACGGTGTGGTCACCCAGAAAGTAACATCCTCCCTCATACATATAAAAGCACAGGAGACGAAATTGGTTGCAATCAAATCTCTCTATACCTCTTAATAACTCTCTCTCTCCTTTAGGTTGTTTATCACCTCACGCCACTGAAGCAAACAGTATGAGCTCACGAAACATTTTCCTGGTCTTTTGAACCACCGTACTAAATCAAATATTGGAGCTTTTAATTTTCAAACTCCATGCAATAGTGAAACAAGCTTCATTTGCTAGAACTCTAGAGTCCCGGGCAATTGATGTATGATGCTGCTTCACGTGGCCTCGCCGACGTAGGCATACTAATAAGTCCTTGTCCAGAACAAGCTCTCCCAGAGTGGATCCTGATAGACAGTCATTTATGCGCTGTCCGACTAAACGGGACAGTACGGACTCGGAAAGATAAGGACTCTCGCCGTTGCCTCTCCATCGTATCTGCCTACGCCCCCACTGACTGCTATTCAGACAATATGAAAAACAAGTTTTATTGAAACCCCTATAAACGTCTCTAGATCTGAAATAGTAATAATGGCTGGTGACTTCAACTATCAAGTAGGTAGACTCAGTGGAACGGAAAGACACCTGGGTGTATCTTATGGTGTTGCGGCTCAGAGAACAGATAATGGCGACCGTCTGCTGCAGCTATGCCCAGATAACCGCCTATTCCTAGCAAACACGAACTTTAGGCATAAGGTGAAACATCTTTTGACCTGGCGACCCACAAACTCTTCACACCGATGGACCTTACTGGATCACATCGCTATAAGCCAGCCGCTCATTCTGGAGCACTTGTTTAGACTCACATCATACTCTAGTGCTAGCGCGTATTTGTTTGCGCATTACTAGACGAAAGAAAAATATCGCAAGGAAACCTGTTAGGGTTCTACTTAATGATAGCTTAGCTAAGAATACATTTCAAGAACAACTAAGAAAACAGTTAGGCAGCCATATAGTAAGTGATGCTCACCGTGAGGTAGCTTGGAATGATATCAGAAAGGCTGTGGAAACAGCAGTGATATCTGTTAGTAAGGTAAACCATAAGGTTAGGGATAAACCGTGGATTTCAGTAGCATCTACCGAACTGATAGACTCTCGGAAAATCATCTTGTTTGGCTGTGAGTACGATGAGGAGCGTAGTCACTTTGGGCTCAGGCTGATGAAAAGCTTACGAAATGATCGTGAACAGTAATGAGAAGCCGAGGCGAGAGAGATAGAAAAGGTAGCGGTGATAGGCAACAGTAGGCAACTATTTAGACTCATCAAGCACACCGGTATTAGGAACCCGAATGTGAGTGAGACTATCTCGGAAAAGGTTGGTCGTATTATCCCTTCCCAATCCATGAGATTGGTCCGATGGGCAGAACACTTCAGGGACTAGTTCAACTGGCCTTCAGCTACACTTCCGTTGCTCTCCAGTTAACCTGAATTGCAAATCGATGTTTGCTGTGCGACTGTTTATGAAGCTGAAAAAGCCGTAGGGAATCAGAAGAAAAAGAGAGCATCGTGTTCTGATAGAATGACCTCTGAGATTTGTAAGAATGGTGGTCCAGTTTCAACACTTAGATTGACTGAGATCTTGGGTAGAATCTTGGAACTGGATGTAATACCATCTCACTGGTCTCCATACCTGATTGTCCCAATTTATAAGAAAGGGAAAAAGTCCTCCTTTGACAATCACAGGGGAATAAGTCTAACTAATATTGTTTCTGAATTCTTAGCCTCGATCATCCTAAGATGACTACATAGAGCTAATGAAGAGCAGACTAGAGAAAACCAGACTGGTTTCAGACCCGGACGTGGCTGTACAGACCACATTTTCACTCTATGACAGGTCCCACAAAACAAACACACATTCCGGTGCCTTACAATAGTTATCTTTCTGAACCTTTAGGCGGCATTCGACTCTGATGACCGTGAGTTTCTATGGCAGAGTCCTTTATTGAATTGTGTACCAAAAAAGAACATTACCACTTTACAAGCTGTCTACTCGGACACTACAGGTAGAGCGAGAGTTTATGGCGAACTGTCCTTCGGAATTCTTTACCTCAAGTCGTGTCCTTCAGGGCTATCCACTCTCTAAATTCTTTTTCAATTTCGTCATAGACAATGCTTCTAGTTATAACATTATCTCCGTCCAAATTTTCTGGAGTAGACCTTCTACCAAGAGGTTCGATTGTTGACCTACGATATACTGATGACATAGGTCTACTCGGTGAATAGGCTGAGAGAATGCAGAGTCTTCTGACTACCTTAAGCAACAATGCAAGCATGTCGGAATGCGGTTTTTCCCCCTCGAAATGCAAAATGTTGCTTCAAGACATGGGTTGCACCGGCACCTGAACTAGTGATAGGGAGTGAAGTAGTCGAATGTGTAGACCGCTTCACTTATCTCGGGAGGCTCATCACTGTTGATGGCCTGTTGACTGACGAAATCTCAGCACGGATACAGAAGGCTCGATTGGCTTTTGCCAACCTGCGTCACTTATAGCGAAGTCGAGATATCCGTTTTCTGACTAAAGGACTAGTGTATTGAGCAGTAGTACTTTATGGCTGAAAACATGGCCAGTGAGAGTAGAAGATATTCGTAGGTAGCTTTTGTCATACCAATGTCCGGAACATTGATCGAATATTGTGATACTGTCGAGTAAGCAATGTTAGTTTCAGGTAACGGGTGCTAGGTAATGGATGGCAGGTCAACAGATGAAGTAGTATAACTCTAGTGGAGGCGGTCGGGAGATGTATTACGAATGCCTAAACACCCGACTACTTTCCGTTCGAGCAGTGTTTTGCGAAAAGATGAATAGCTTGAACGAAAGGTAAGGTTGGCCACACCAAAGCATGACACAAATCCATAAAGTTACTGACAGCTAGATTGGGTCATTTTGGTTAATGTAGATTATCTGGTTGAGATCCTCGAGATGATAGTAATCGATGGACAGAGACCTAAAGTGACATGGCTCAAAACTGTTTGCAATGGTGAGGATGCATCCACTCTTCGTGTTCATTCAAATTCTAATCTTCTGAATACTTAAGCATATCTATATATCTCTTCCAAATTTAACTCACTGAATTATACATCATGAATAACATTTTCGAACCGTAATCTGTCGGATTAACTCCAATGCTTATACTACCACTACTACTATGGAATTTGATCCGACAGTTACATCTCTTATGCTAATGTGGTACGGCAACTTGAACTGCTGTACTTGGGTGCAAGGATCTACGTTGCAGTTGATGATGATGAATTATTTTACATAATA